TCACCCACAGTCGCAGCAGCACCACTGGACCTAGTGCACATGGACGTCTGGGGCCCTGCCCCTGTTCTCGCACGAGGTGGCTATCGCTACTTCCTTGTTATCGTGGATGACCACTCCCGCTACGTCTCTGTTCACCTCCTCCACACTAAGGCTGAGGCTCCAGAGGTCATCATGGCGTGGGTCAAGCAGGCACAGACCACCTTTGACCGCAAGGTCAAGCGCCTTCACTCGGATGGGGGGGGTGAATTTTGCAACGACAAGCTCCTCAAAAGGCATCCAGCAAAACTTCACCCTTCCCGACAGCCCGCAGCAGAACGGCATAGCAGAAAGCCGCAACCACACCCTGGTGCAAATCACTCGGTGCCTCCTCAGCCACTCCAATGCTCCACTCTCTCTTTCGGGATACGCCCTCTACCATGCTGCCCTCCTCTACAATCTTTACCCCCACCCGCATCTTCTCGACACCATTCCAACCATACCTTGGCTCGGGAAAACACCCACTGCTCGCTCCCTTCGCGTCTGGGGGTGCATTGCCTATGTCCTCCTCGACCCTCAGGCTAGGCAGCAGCACGGTGGCAAACTCGGCCCCAAGACTCAAACGTGCCCCAAGACTCAAACGGCCCCAAGACTCATTACCTTGGGCACAATGCCGACTCCCCTGACTACCTCTTCCTCAACCCCTCCACTCAACAGCTAGTCCGGAGCCGCGTCTTTGATGAGACCCGCCCATTCTACTCCACCTCGGGTCGGGATCCTCCCTCTGATCCGCCCTCTCTCGTCTGGGCAGACTTTGACGCACCTCCTGAACTCCTGCCTGTACTGACCCCCTCACCCCCTACCTCTCCTTCCATCGCACCCTCCCCTCCTGAGGTCTCTGACCCGACCTCACCGGTGTCTTCGGCAGCTGCTCCTCCCTCCCCCTCACCTCCCCCTCTGCTGGCTGCGCCGCCCCCTCCGAGTGCACCAATCACATACCATCAGCGGTCAAACCCTCCGGCCCCACCTCCTCCACCAGTCCCCTCTTCCACCCAGGCACCCGCTCCACCACAGTCGCCCGAACTGATCACGTACCAGCGGCGACCACTTCCCCCGCCTAAGTCTCCTAAATCAACCCCTCCGACACCGCCTGCTCCACCCTCCTCTCCGGTGGCTCATGGCACTCGCTCGCATGGCCTGCTCTTCCACTGGCCCTGGTTTTTCGCTGCACAGCGATCACTTCGACTCCTCTTGCTGGGGGTCATGCCTTCTACGCTTCTGGAAGACAGTGGCTGTTTCGAGTGAAACAGCTTCCGGACGAGGCCCCGGTGTTCAAAGCGCGTTACGAGGCCAAAGGGTTCACTCAGCAGCAATACCTGGATTTCTTCAAAACCTTCTCCCCCACATCCAAACCACCCACTGTTCGCACGCTCTTGGATGTAGCAGCACGAGAAGACTTTGAGATCAAATCCATGGACGCATCTTCGGCCTTCCTGCAAGGACGCCTCAAGGAAACCGTATTCATGGATCGACCAGAAAGCTTTCAAGGAGAGTTCCCTCCCAACACTGTCTGGAAGCTGAATCGCCCTGTCTACGGCCTCAAGCAAGCCCCTCGGGAATGGCACAACAAAGTGAAGGAAGTCCTTCTCTCACTGGACTTTCACCCATCCTCTGCCAACCCGACCCTCTTCATTTGTCGCCATTCTGAACCATTCTACATCCTTGTCTACGTCGATGACTTCATCCTCGTTGCCAAGGACTCGGCCCAGATGGCCTCTGTTCAGGAGGCCCTGAATAAGGCCCTTTTGATGAAAGACCTCGGTGATCTCAAACACTACCTGGGGATGGAGATCACTCGTGATCGCAAGGCTCGCACCATCTCTCTTTCCCAGGAGTTCTACATCAACAATGTGCTCAAGCGGTTTGAGATGGAGCTGTGCACACCCATCGCCACCCCACTGCCGCTACAACACCTCCTCACCGCCCCAGCTGTACCCACACCAGAGGCATGCACTGAGCCATACCCAGAGCTTGTTGGGTCCCTCATGTACGCCATGATGTGCACCCGGCCTGACTTGGCATACCCTGTCAGTGTCCTCTCTCGATATGTGGCTCCTGGACGCTTCACAGACCTTCATTGGAAAGCGGCAAAGCGGGTACTGCGCTATTTGCAGGGCACCAAGTCCCATGTCCTCACCCTTGGTGGGCTTTCCCCTCCTCGACTGGAAGGTTACACAGACTCCTCCTGGGCAGATGACCAGACCGACCGACGCTCCTCCCAAGGCTACTGCTTCACCCTTGGGAGCGGGATTGTCAGCTGGCGCTCCACCCGGTCGTCTGCAGTCTCCCTCTCCTCCTGTGAAGCCAAGCTCTATGCCGGCACTATGGCGGCTCAGGAGGCCCGCTGGCTCACCTTCCTACTCCAGGAGCTTGGCTTTCCTCAGTCCACTCCCACCCTCTGGTGTGACAACCAGAGCACCTGTCACCTCTCCCAGGATCCCGTGTACCACACTCGCACCAAGCACATCGAACTTCGACACTTCTTCATCCGTGACCTTGTCCAGCGAGAGCAGCTCAATGTGGAGTATGTGGCTTCTGACTGCAACTTGGCTGATCTGTTCACCAAGCCCCTTGGGAAGGTCCCTCACCATCGCCTTGTAGGCGCCATGGGGCTCTGCGCTCCTCCTCCGCCATGAGTTCAATTGACGCCTATGGGGGGGTGTTGGTGTTAGCCCTCAATCTCACATTTTGTACTTGTACTTTTATATCCTAGTTTAGTGTAGTTTGCACTTTGTGTTTGGTTGGGTGTACACCCACATCCCAACCAAACCCAAATGTAATCTCCAAGCAATCTCCAACCCACCAATTGGAGCTTGCCTTGGGATTACCCTTGATTCCCTAGGATTGCCCCCTGATTCCATTCTCATCCACCTTGCTCATTTCTGATGTACTTAAAGAGCTTTGAGCTCACTACTAATGTATCAGTTCTAAGCCTAGATTCTGACACAGTGCTGCTCTGCTTGCTCACTGCCGGTCAGTGCTGCTCTGCTTGCTCACTGCCGGTCAGTGCTGCTCCGCTTGCTCACTGCCGGTCAGTGCTGCTCCGCGTGCTCACTGCCGGTCAGTGCTGCTCCGCGTGCTCACCTATGATGGATTATACGCGTATAGCATATGTACGCGTGTCGTATATACGCTAGTGTTTGTACGCTATACGCTGGAGGGGCCTGATCGAGGATACGCTTTTCCGGGCAGTAAAAAAAGTTTCGCGGGCAGGGCAAAACAAAACCCGGTGAGCATTTTCGGCTACTCGTCGACCATGCGGGAATCTTGTCCCATAACCCTACCAGAGAAATTGCGGGAAATGGTTGGGTTCAGATCTGAGAACACATTTGTACCCAACCACCACAATTTCCACAGTTCGCGAAATTGGCGAGCGGGTGAAATTTGTCGTGCCTTGCTGGCGATTCACCTACGATCAAGTCAAAATATTGGCGAATTGTTTTCGCGACACAGCTAGACGCAACTCACAACTACTACTCCTCTCAATCAACCCCTCCACATCTCGATTTCTTACCTAGCCTAGGCAAATGCGACACCAGGACATAAATCCACTTTCCCGCCAGCACAGACCGCGAACGTCCGATCTGACTTCGCAGAATTGCTCGTCGTGCAATTCCGCTGCTCTTGAGTTATTAAAAAAAAATTGGGTCGGCGGGCTGCCCAGAAAAAACTTTGGGCAGCGTATAGCGTTTTCGCTAGCGTTTCGCGTATAGCGTGTACACGCTAGCGTACAAACGCTAAACGCTTAACGTCCAAAGCGTATAATCCAACATAGGTGCTCACTGCCGGTCAGTGCTGCTCTGCTTGCTCACTGCTGGTCAGTGCTGCTCTGCTTGCTGCCGGTCAGTGCTGCTCTGCTTTCTGCCGGTCAGTGCTGCTCTGCTTGCTCACTGCCGGTCGGTGCTGCTCCGCTTGCTCACTGCCAGTCAGTGCTGCTCCGCTTGCTCACTGCCAGTCAGTGCTGCTCCGCTTGCTCACTGCCGGTCAGTGCTGCTCTAATTGCTGCCTCTGCGTGCCACTGACACGTCCCACATCTCGCCACCTGCCATGCACGAACCTGCCACTGCCTGCACCTGCCCTGTCCCCACCTGCCCTGTCCCCACCTGCCCTGTCCCCACCTGCCCTGTCCCCACCTGCCCTGCCCAGACCTGCTCTCTCCCCATCTGCCCCTTCCCGAACCTGCCAGTCACTGCCTTTCTGATTGCTGTCGGTTCAGTCGATGGTGCCCCCACTGGCCTTTCAGTCTGCTCTGGTTATGTTGCATGCTAGCTTGTTCTGTTTACTTGGGTTGTCGTCACAATTCTCGTACAATGGGATGTGGCATGGGATGTGTGGAATGGGATGTGTGGCATGGGATGTGTGGAATGAGATGTGTGGCATGGGATGTGTGGCATGGGATGTGGGGCATGGGATGTGGGGCATGGGATGTGTGGCATGGGATGTGGGGCATGGGATGTGTGGCATGGGATGTGTGGCATGGGATGTGTGGCATGGGATGTGTGGCATGGGATGTGTGGCTCTGCATGGGACAGGTGGAAAGCTTTGTGCTGCTGGGAATGAGCAAGAGGGGAATGATGGCGTGGCTGACAGCAGCTATGGATAAGGTGAGAAGGACCCTTGAGTCGACTCAGAAGCCACCTCATTACAATGGCACCACCTACCATTGCATGTCACCACCTACCATTGCATTGCACCTGTTACCATTGCAAGCCATCAATGACCAGGGTTCCAATGCCATTGCACCCTCTGCGTGTTCCAATGCACTATCCATTCGTGTATGAAATGCACTGTACATAGCTAGAAATTCTATTGCTATTACTCCCTCGACGCAGACAGGAGAACTGTTCATTGTTTGTGTGCAGGAGACTTGGAATTGGCAGCAGCGGTGTCACGGTGTGCAGCAGCGGTGTCACGGTGTGCAGCAGCGGAGTGCAGCAAGCAAGGAATCGTCAAAAGGGATGGGGATGATGCTAGATCTGCAGCAGCGCACCCTTGCTGGTGCCTTAAAGACCAGCGTGCATGACGGGTTCCTCACTGTGTACCCTTTTTTTTCTTCTTCGTCTTCTTCAATTCTTTTCTTTCTCTCTCCATGGCATGGCAGAGGGTGGTGGGCATAGTGGCGTACGGCTTTGACCTGCTGGACTTTGGCCGCAACTTCCAGCATCTGCACGACTCGCTAAAGTTCTACGCCATCTTCAACGTCACCTCGAAGCTGCAGTCACCTCAATTCCAAAGGCTCACTGTAAGCACAACCTAAGATGGAAGATAAGGTCGGCCTGCCTGGCCGTGAACGTAACGGGCTTTTTGGCTCACCGAAGAAAAGCACTACCTTAGTGGCAGGCGTATTTTCAACGTATCCCAAACCACTCTGCCAGTGGATCCTGTATTATTCGCCAGCTCGCTAGCGTATAATACACCAGCCGGTCACATCTTTTCCAACACAGAGCACATGGAGAGAAGCGAGCCTGAGATGGAGAATGGTGTAACCGTGTAACGAGTGAGTAGTCGTGTGGCCCACCATTCTTGCGCTCTGTGGCTGTTTCAACACCACATCCTGGGCTTGGCTCGTTGCAAGCTGAGGGTGACGGAGTGTTTGAGAGAAAGAATGGTTGGACTTGGATTTGACCTGTGCTGGTCTGGCTTTGCCAAGCTGCTTCTCCTCCTCTCATGCCCGTATTTCCACGCGGCTCTTGCTGCCAACCAACTCACCTTCCGGCTCTTTTCCTGCTCCACTCCGCTCATGCTCTTTCTCACTACATGAGGACACAAACCTTCTCACATCATCCCATGCCTGGCTGGCTGACTGCAGGAGGACACGGACCCATTCTACTACAGGGAGCGCCTCACCATGCCCAAGCTGCTCCTCTGTGCATCTAACGACGAAGTGCTGGCACTGGATGACACGTGAGTGGGACTTGGGGTAGGGTTTATAGACATCAGGTGGTGACACGTGAGTGGCGCTTAGGGTTATGGTTGATGACAGTGGAGTGCGGTGGTGGCACGTGAGTGGGGTGGTGGCACGTGAGTGGGGTGGTGGCACGTGAGTGGGGTGGTGGCATGGCACGTGACCTGTGATTGTGAGAATGACGACGATTTGTGATGGCACCAATCTCCCCTGGCCCCCTTTCTCTCTCATCCTTACTTCCCCCTCCCCTCCGACAGGTACATCTGGTGCCCTTATGCCCTGTTCTCTTCTCTTGGCCTACCTTCCCTGGTTCCCCTCCCTCCTGGCAGGTACATCTGGTGGAACGACATGCCCGAGCCAAAGCTGCTCAAGATAATGGCCAACTCGGAGCACATGCATCTTCACATCAACCTATGGGTGGGTGGGTAGGGTTGTGTTGGTCTGGGTGCTCTGAGAATTATGTGAAAGGGAATGAAGCTACCGCAACCAATGCGAGAGGTGTTTCCTCAGCGTTTAGCCGAAGTTGGCTCTGCCGCTTCGCTCAATTCGAGCTCGTCTAAGTCAGCTGTGCCTGAAGTCGGCCTCACAATGCCGGCTTCGCCCAAAGTCAGCTTCGCCAAGTTGACTTCGCCAAAGACCGAAGTCGGCCAACCAAGTCAACTTGCTCCTCCAAGTCGGCCAACCAAGTCAACTTGCTCCTCCAAGTCGGCCAACCAAGTCAACTTGCTCCTCCAAGTCGACGTCGACCACAGAGTGTAGCCAGCTGCATACCTTGCACTCTGGACAAGGAAGCGGGCTATGCACAAGCCATTACAGGGCATTTTCTTGTCAACAAACCCTTCTCTCTAACCTCACTCTTCAACCCCTCTCTACAACCCCCTCTTTCCAACCCCTCTCTCCCACCCCCCCACACCCTTCTACAGGCTAACCAAGCAACCCTCTCCTTCCTCGCCTCTCTCCTCCACGTCAACTCCTCCTGTGCCTCTCTCCTCGCCTCCTCCCGCCCCTCCCTCACCTGGAATCGGTCCCCCAACGCCCGCAGCTACTCCCCCCTGGCCCCAAGCACTCTGACACATCAGAGGGCACGGGCTTGTTTGCACAGGAAGAACAGAAGACGGTAGAGGCTAAGGCAGGAGGGGGGATGGAGGGTATAGACGGAAGCGCGCTGACCAATCAGGAGCAGCCGGCACATCCCTGGGACTGTGTTCCTGAGCTGCCAGCTGTTGACTGGCCTAAGCTGATGTGGCGGTTCGATTTTTCCACGTTCACCATTGTTGCCACGTCAGACAGGAAGCCATTGGCGGTTAGAGCATGGTGAGAGATGGGGAGGGGAGGGGTGTTTAAAGAGGTGGAGGAGGGAACAGGGGAGGGCGATGGGGAGGAAGGGGGGAGAGGGAGGGAGGGGAAGGGGAATGGGGAGAGGGGGGGTGAGGGAAAAGGGGAGGTGGGGGGAGAGGGAGGGAGGGGAGGAGGTAGGAGGGGAGAGAAGGGATAGGGAGAATGGGTGTGTGTATGGCTGCTGAGGGAGCAAGCTCTTGTTCAGTTCTCTGTATGTTTCATGAGAGCCCATGCTTCTCAACTGCTTTCTCAATTTTGTTGTTTCCCTATGGCTTCTAAGTCACCTGTTGCTTTATTTCTCTCCATTCAACTCCTCTTCCTTCTCAAACCCAAAACACGCGCACCTCCCCACCCAAACCCCACAACCCCTCTCCCCCCACCCAGAATCCCCCATTCCCCCTTCTCCCCGTCCCCGTTTCCCCCTTCTCCCACCGTGCTTCTCGTGTCTCACAGGACTGGCCGAACTGCCAGCGCACGGCGGGACTTCCGCTTCGTGGTACGGCGAGGCTCCAAGGGGTGGTGAGTGGTGGAAAGGGGTGGTGAGTGGTGCAAGGGGTGGTGAGGTGAGTGGTGCAAGGGGCGGTGAGTGGTGAAAGAGGTGGTGAGTGGTGCAAAGGGGTGGTGAGTGGTGCAAGGTGTGGTGAGTGGTGCAAGGGGTGGTGAGTGGTGCAAGGGATGGTGAGTGATGCAAGGGGTGGTGGTGAGTGGTGTAAAGGGTGGCGAGTTGCCATGGCATAAGCCCTGTTCGTGCAGCTCATCCCATGCGTCCTGCTACCCTCTCTCCCTGCGTCCCCATGCCCTGTCATATATTAAGTGAGTGACTTGGGTTCTTAAGTAGGCTTGGAGGCTAGGTTGAGAGTAAGGAGAAGATTTGACAAGAAGGGTTCGATGCGAGATGGGGATACAAGATATAGGCAAGGCAAGGCAAGGGTGCATGGTGCACCACCAACAGTTATCGTGCAATCCACACAATTCTACACAACAGGCAGCTGTAGAACACACACACGGGCGCGCGCACGCGCGCGCACGCACACACACACACACACACACACACACACACACACAGAGAGACACACACACACACAGACACACACACACACACACACACACACACACAGACACACACACACACAGACACACACACACACACACACACACACACACACACACACACACACACATCCCTCACCCTCCATGCCCTTCCCTTGAGCGGTGCCGGGCACGTATGTGGGCAAGTTCTGCCTGTTCCATTCTTCCTCTGCTGCACCTGCTCACCTTCTCCACCCTCTCAGCACGGCGCCAATGCCAACAGTTCCAGGGTTGTGTGCGGGCAAGCTTCACCTGTGCATGCAGGCCACGCCCGTCGTTCTCCGCTTCTCATTTCATTTATCCCACCCTCCCACCCCTCCCCCCCCCCCCCCTCTCTTCTGCTGAGGCAGCACGGCGCCGATACCGAAAATTCCGGGCACGTATGAGGGCAAGTTTGAGCTGTGTGTGCAGGCCATCCCTTTCTTCCTGCACACCATCTCGCCGCCCACGCACCACCCTGAGGATGGCTTGTGGCACTTCAGCTCCACCGTCACCGACGTTCCCAAGGTGACTATAGTGAAAATGCTTTTGTTTTAGCTTCTGAAATATCGCTTCACAATGTGACTGTAGCGAGGGGTCAAAAGGTGGCTGACTGGGCGACTCCCCCAAGGTGACTACTTTGATGGTTATACAGGTACCGTGCAACATTTATTGGCATGTTGATGCTCTTGTGGTCATTCTTTGTGTGAAGGAGATTGTTTAGGAGTTAAACTGCTTCCAAAACATACGAGTTAATACAGTTCTTGTGCCATTTGCAGGTGGGGTTTCGAGCACTGTGGATTGAAGTTGATTTTGCGATTCCGCAAAGAAAACTGCCTTTTGTGTTGACTACTGAAGCCCTTCTAGCCCCAAACAAGCTGCCGTTCTCACCCTGTCAACCAGACAACTATTCTTGCCAACAAAGTTGGATATGATGGGGATGGGATGTGCAAGCAACACAAAGTCAGCATGTGGAAAAAGCCTCCCAAAAATATTACGGTATATTTATTTATGTACATTCATACTCTATCTTGCTGTTTGGGCGCGGTGTGATATTTGCTGGAGTTTCCATTCGGATTTTTTTCCAAATTCTCTGACGGGAATCGTGTCTGAAGGGATCTGAGATTCTTAGCGAGTCAAACCATTTGTATCTGGTATATTTTGCCACTGCATCGCTCGAACAGCATCAACTTTCTTTTATCCAAAGTTCAGATAGCTGAAGCTGGTGTTGTAGACAGGAGGAGCTGTCGCGCATCCCCTGCTTCCTCGTTATTCCGCAATCGAAGCAGCTTTTGGAAGGGTCAGATTCAGCACCCATTTTGAACTCCACAACCAGAAACCACCACTCTCGATCCGCTGAACAGAACGTCGTGGCGTGGCTTTCGTGTTGCATCCGAGCAATGGAGCTGGAGATCGACAATCAACAATGCATCATGGCCGTTAGCAAGAACGGCGTACTGAGTTTCTTACTGTGAGCCAGCGGACTGAAGCAGTTCTAGCGATCACGATCCCGTTAGCGAAGCTCATTATGTCGCGTACGCACGCGTCAAACCCTGGTGTCGTCGTCAGGCGACTCCAGGCGGCTCTCACTCGCCGCATTCTGCCTGTCGCCGTCGCGCTGACCGTCGCATACTTGGCGATCTTCGAGCTGCGACCCAGCCTGCTCTCTGCTGATAAAGCACAGTTGTCGAGGTCGACGCTTTTCCCGCAAAGCGGCTGCGAGACGGCGAGAAATTGTCACGGTACACTGCTGGACAGATATGTTTATACAGCGGATGCGGAATTCGGGTGGGTTTTTCTAAGTGGCTCGATTTTTTCTCTGGCAGAGTGGGGGACAAGTGGAGGGGAAAAGAAGTCGGACAAGTGGGGGAAATGCTGGTGGTGGAAGCACACACACAGCAGTCTCGCATGCGGGCCAAGGAGGTCAAACCGAAAACGTTTTTTTGCAGGAATTCTCAAAACGTTTTTTTTCCTGTGCCTGACTGCTCCTGCCCTCAGGTGGAAGGACACGGGCAACCGCATGCGAGCCAAGGAGCCTGGGGGGTGGTGGACGGGGTATGTGCTGCTGGTGAACACGCAGCGCTGGCTCAACCAATCCGTTACCAACCGATTCCATTGGTGGCACCACGTCACTCTCATTGTCAGCTGAGCCCTAGCATTTGGATATCAAACTCACTACATTGTGTGTGCTCAATGGCTTTGGGTGGTGGACGGGGTATGTGCTGCTCGTGAGAACCCAACGCTGGCTCAACCAATCCGTTGCCAACCGATTCTACTGGTGGCACCACGTGACGCTTATTGTGAGCGAACCCTGGGCTTTTCGTTTCAAGCTGCAATATATGCCTTGAGGCTGGCGGGGAATGAGGAGGGTGCAGTATATGCCTTCACATGGTTGTGGGAAAAAGCACTGTCGTTCGTTCCCAATCGACCAACATGTGGAGCAGCGGTCTCGTGCACTTGAATACTGCAGTGAAGGTGTACTTGGTGTGGGTTTGGTGCTGCTGCTGCTGTTTGGTGCTGTTAAGTGTGGTGCCATGGGGTACTGTGCCATGGGGTACTGTGCCATGGGGTACTGTGCCATGGGGTACTGTGCCATGGGGTACTGTGCCATGGGGTACTGTGCCATGGGGTACTGTGCCGTGAGGTACTGTGCCGTGAGGTGCCAAATGGGTGTTTATGTATGCCATGTGTTGGCAAGGCAAGGCATGAAGCCTAACCTTCAACAGTTTCCTCCAAGCTGTCCTTGTCTTGCTACCCCCGTCTCCTAATGGCATGCCAAACTTGAGCAGTGTTCGGTGTGAACTTCCTCACTTCGGTGCTTGGTGCGGTGCAGAGGGGTGGGGTGAGGTGCCGAGCGTCAACAAGGTGTTGGTGCTGTTCTTTATGGTCTGGGGCTTTTTAATCAAAGGCATCTCTTGTGCCTCTCCATCCATCCTCTCGCCCTCCCAGGCGCCAGACAACATGGCGAGCGCCAGCAAGGGGCTCGTGCTGTTCTTTATGGTCTGGGGCTTTTGTATCTAAAGCATCTCTTGTGCATCTTCAATGCATCTCTCGTGTTTCTCCATCCTCTCGTTCTCGCTCTCCCAGGAGCCAGACAACATGGCGACTGCTAGCAAGGGGCTGGTGCTCTTCTTCGTAGGGGCGGGGTGGACTCAACTCGACAGTCCCGTTTGCACCCCTCTCAACCGCAATGCACCCCTCTATGCAGGCGCCTGACGACATGCACAACGCGCACAAGGGGCTCGTGCTGTTCTTTGTGGGGGCAGGGTTGAACGACCATGGGGGGGAAGACTGGAGCTACCACATCCCCAAAGACACGGATGTCTTCATCCGCGTCGCTGCCCCGTGAGTGCGTGAGTGGCAAGGAGGGGCGTGCAGTGCAGTGCAGTGTGGCGCAGTGCAGTGCAGTGCGGTGCAGGTGGGCGTGAGTGGGTGGGAGACCCGTGTGCCAAGGGGTGGAATGACCATGGGCGGGATGACCGGCGCTACCACATCCCCAAAGACACCGACGTCTTCATCCGCGTCGCTGCCCCGTGAGTGGCAGTCAGTGGCAGGGATGGACGTGCAGTGCAGTGTGGCGCGGTGCAGTGCAGTGCAGTGCGGTGCAGGTGGGCGTGAGTGGGTAAGAGCACCGTGTGCCAAGGGGTGGAATGACCATGGCAGGGACGACTGGCGCTACCACATCCCCAAACAGACTGACGTCTTCATCCGCGTCGCTGCCCCGTCAGTGGCGTGAGTGGCAGACAGTGGTGTGAGTGGCAGACAGTGGCGTGAGTGGCAGACAGTGGCGTGAGTGGCAGACAGTGGCGTGAGTGGCAGCGAGTGGCGTGGTTGCAGTGACGGCTCTCACCCACAGTGCAGGTGTGAGTGAGTGGGAGTGGGAGCACCATGGGAGTGGGAGCACCATGGGAGTGGGAGCACCATGGGAGTGGGAGCACCATGGGAGTGGGAGCACCTTGTGGCTCTACCACATTCCCATGCCATGCAGGCAGACCTCTTCATCGGTGTTGCTTTGCTGGTTTGTGAGCGGCGTGAGTGGCGTGAGTGAGAGGGACTTGAGTGAGTGGGAGGGGCGTGTTAGGTCAACTCAAAAGGTGTGTTTAAGTGGGAAGGAGGGGCATGAGTGTTGGATATAGGCTGCAGTTTGTTTCTTCGCTGTACCCTTTTTTGGATTTTCAACTGTTAGTAAGTTTGTTTTTGGTTGGGTTGGGTGTAGACTTTTTATCCGCGACCTATCCAACCCTATGTAAACCCATCCATCCAAAATCTTCTTGATTTGGATGGATCCAATTGCAACTTATCCACCCAACCCCTCCTAGTTTGTGGTAGTTAAGGCCATGTATATTGCTCTTTAATCAATCGATTCAACTCTCATTTCTGACAACAAGTGCAGTGCGTTGCGTGTTTCTGCCCACGTTGCAGGTGTGCATGAGTAGGTGGGGCGTGAGTGGGAGGGGCGTGAGCCGTATGCCTGTTGCATCCTCCTCCTTCCAGTCCCCCCCATTTCTTCCACACAACCCCTCCCACCCCCTCCACTCGTTTTTTTTTTTTCCCCTTTCACCATCTTGCCTCACATTCAGGCTGGTGGTGGATATGGGCGTGCTGGATGTCATGCTGCATCAGCAGCCCATGTATGATGCTGCATGACCAACCTCCTCCTCTCTCCCCTCCACTCTGCTATGACACCCACTCTGCTGTACCCCCGTGCAGGCTGGTGGTGGATTTGGGCATGCTGGGCGTGATGCTACACGAGCAGCCCATGATGCCCATCACCTTTTATTCCTCACCGCCTGGCGTCAGCAAGAGCATGAGCCAAGAGCTTATGGAGGAGGAGATCACAGCCTGTAAGCGAGGCAGCTTATACCGGGTCCGTATCCCTCCTGATGTCAGCCGCAGCAGATTATACCAAGATTTGCACGCCTAGGAGATTGCAGTCTGTAAACGAGGCAGGTCATAGCGTGTCAGGTACAGCAGCAGCAGCAGCTGCAGCAACGTAAGCCAGGATGTGCTAGAGGAAGATTCAGTAAGCCTATAGTGTGCCTTACTCCTGCTGATGTCAGCAGCAGTAGCGATACCCCACCTAATAGCTGGTAGTGCAGGAAATGAGTGCATGTGAGGAAATGAGTGCATGTGAGGAAATGAGTGCATGTGAGGAGATGAGTGCATGTGAGGTGATGAGTGCATGTGAGGAGATGAGTGCATGTGAGGAGATGCGTGCAGAATTTTACTCTCCTTCCCTCACCCATTCCTTGTCCTCTCCCCTCCCCTCACCTGCCCCTCCTGTCTCACCTGTCTCACCTGTCTCACTTGCCCCACCTGCCCCCTCCACACACCTCGTCCGCCAGTCACGCTGGGCATGGCACTGCACGACCCCAGCACGCCCGAGTGGACCATCTACATGCCCATGGCCAAGTCCCTCGTCCGCGCCCTGGATGCCACGCAGCTTGCCGCTAGAGAGCTACTTCCCCACGTGCCGGTGAGGTCTGCTGGTTGTAGGGGTACTCGTACTTCGAGGGCCACTCACCCATCTACATGCCCATGGCCAAGTCCCTCATCCGCGCCCTCGATACCACGCAGCTCACCACCAGGGAGGTGTGGTCCGTGTGCCAGTGCGATAGTGTGCAATAGGGCTGTTACTTTTGAGAATTCTCATGAGGTCAGGTAAGGATGGCGTGCTCAGTGCTTCTGTGCTGCTGCTGCTGCTCCGTGTGCTGGTGAGTGCTGCTGCTGCGGCACTGAATGTATGCTTGGATGATGTACAGTACAGGTTATGGCTCAGTCATGTCATGCCATGGATGGCTCAGTCATGTCATGCCATGGATGGCTCAGCCATGTCATGTCATGCCATGGATGGCTGTCATGCCATAGATGGCTCACGCCTTCCATTGCCTGCCTGAAACTTTCCACCGCCATCTCTCTCCTCATCCACCTAACCGCCACTCTCACCCCGCCCCCCCCTCTTTCCTATCGCTCATGCCTTGCGTGCCCCGTCCCGCCCACCACCCCCCCTTCCCACCAACCCGGGCAGGTGGAGGGCTTCGTGAGTGTGGGAGTGAGCAAGCGCGCGTGCATGGCTTGGCTCTCGGCCGCTCTAGATAAGGCGCGTGCATATGTGACTCTCAATCCTGCGACCGTGTGTGTGCGACCACCACGTTCTGGAAAACCAACTGAACTCGAACGTGCCTGTGTGCATTGGCTTTCACATTGCACCTCGTCCTTTTATTCCACATTTCTTTCTGCTCTTCTCAGCACATACCCTTTTTCTCGCTGCTCCTCTTCTTACTCTCCTGACCTAAGTTACCCAGCCAATATGCGCCCCTTCCGTTCCTCCCCTACTCTTCCCCTTTCATATCGTACGGTTACGATCTCATCAGCATCCAGCCCAACATGCAGCACCTGGTGGACTTGTCTTGACTTGACCACCCAAGCTTAACGCACTCCTTACCACCCAAGCTTAACGCACTCCTTACCACCCAAGCTTAACGCACTCCTTACCACCCAAGCTTAACGCACTCCTTACCACCCAAGCTTAACGCACTCCTTACCACCCAAGCTTAACGCACTCCTTACCACCCTCCCTCACTTTCCTTCTCACCCATCAGCGAGTGGTGGCCTTCATATCGTACGGCTATGATCTCATCAACTTTCAGCCCAACATGCAGCACCTGCTCGACTCGCTGGGTGCTGTGCCCATCCTGGGGCGGTTCTACGTGGATTACAACCTCACTCGCTTCCTGCACACCCCACAGCTGCGCCACATCCTGGTGAGAAGGGAGGAATTGAGTGATAGAGAGGGTTAGAGATGGATGGAGGGGGAAGGATGGCAGCGTCTGCACCCGGGGGGGGTGCTGCCTGCAGTGGCGCCGAGAGGGCGAGGAACTCATCCGCCGTGCCCAAACATTTTGCAAATCCGCCGGTTTCTCCGCAAATGTGCTCGGGTGGGAGATCGGCATTGACGCACGAGTCGGCTGGAGAACACGCGCCAGTGCCTTTAGGCATTCCGACAGAATCCACAGCTGATGCAGGGTCGTTGTGGAACATGGATTCTTTCCGCCTCCTTGAGGCGAGGACGGGGAAGGTACGGATCACGATACGGACCCCTTGCGGGGCCACCCCGGACGCCAACAAACCCCGAAAGCCCAGGCGGCTGCTGAACAGAGTGCTGCAGGGACGCCGCACGGTCGGCCACTTCAACAATGGCAGGAAGATCACAAGGAGCAAGAGGAGCAGCCGGCGGAACTGCTTGGCTGGTCGTCGCTGCCTGCGACTTGTGGAGAGCATTCGCGAGCGCGTGTAGAAACTGCTCCACGGCGCGTGCAACGTCGGACGTTGACTGGCGACCTCCGCCCGCGCGACCCTGACCTCCCCAATGGTCACACCGTGTGGCCAGCACTGTTTGACTGCGCAGGAGATTGGGGCAGGGAAGTACTGCACGGGCGGCGCGCAGGGGACCTCCCACGGCGCGACGGGGAATGACGCCGCTGGCGCTTCTCCGGCGACTCACGCGGAGAGCGGCAAGCAGGAGAGCGACGCCCCGAGGAATGGTGCACGGGTGAACAACGGCGAGGCGACTGGCGAGAAGAGGAATGGTGACATGGCGAGGCGACTGGCGAGCGACGCCGAGGAGGTCGGCTGTGGGAGGCCAGTCGACGAGGGGACCTGTGCTCACGGCGATCTTCCTCACGCCTTTCACGGCTTTTGTCGCGAGCCTCGGGCAAACGGCGACGGGGAGAGCGTGGCTCCGCCAGGGCGCCAGAATGAACACCAGACTCAGCTCGGGCTGGCTCTTTCGGACAAACCTGCGCCGCGTCGCTCAGGTGCATGCCGCTGGTCCTCAAATCAGCGCCGAGTCTGGTCAGCGACAGTGGGAGAGCGAGCAGGGACGCTCACAGCCGAGCGCGACGGATGAGCAGGCACGCTCTCCGCGGTAGACCGCGCTCGTGGGCAGGCGGAAGCTCCCCTTCAGCACGCACAGGGCGCAACACCAACACGAGGGGAGCCTACCTTCCCTACACAACAGGCGGCGCTAGCTGCAGTAACCCCGCGGAGTGGACGGGGAAGCACGCGGGAGAGCGGATCGCGCAGAGGACAGAGGAGAGCGCGGAGGACAGATGTCATCGTGCGCGACCCTGACAGCGGGGAAAGGTGGATCACCAATACCAGGATTACTGACCTCGTTCTGCAGAACCGAGACCCCACAGCCCCCGGGGTGGGCAGCAAGAGAAGCACAAAGCCTACTACCCTGCCTCAATCAATACAAAGGACCGCTAGAGAGAGGGAGAGAGAGGGAGAGAGAGGGAGAGAGGCAGGGGGTGGTGATTCCTTCCCTAGGTGCTGTGCCCATCCCGG